CGGCGGTGGCCGACGCGTCCCCGAGCTAAGAAGCTCAAAGCGCCGCGGCTCAGAGAGCCGGGAAGACAGACAGACAGACGAAAGGGGGAGAGGGTGCCGAAACGCGCCCAGAGTCCAGCAAGGCATGAGGGTGCAAACCCGACTTGTCTGGCTGATGCTCTGGGGGGGCCTGTGCTCAGGGGAGGCTGCAGCACCGCTCAACGATGTGCTGTTTAACCGAACCTGCAGGGCGGGCCCTTTCCCAAATCCGTGCTTCGGTGCGGATGGTAAGCGCGCCTCGTCTCCGTCGTCGTCGTCGGCGTCGTCGTGGTCGTGGTGCGTGTTGCTCTGCTCGGGATTCTGTTTCCCTTATGCAGTGACCACCACCACCACCACCTTCTTCTCCTCCTCCTCCTCCTCCTCCTCCTCCTCCTCCACCTCTCTTCTCCTTTCTCCCCCTCCTCACTCGTCGGCCTCGTCCCTCGTCGTCCTCGTCCTCTTCGCCGTCGTCGCCCTCGTCGTCTTGCTCTCTCCCGCTCTCTATCCCTCTCTCTCTCTCGTCGCTCTCCTCCTCCTCCTCCTCCTCCTCGTATTCCTCCTCATGCCCCTCCTCCTCCCCCTCGTCCTAGCGAGCAGGGTCGGCGTCACCGGCCGTGAGGCCCTCGCAATAGGCGATCGACATCTCGTCCGTGCCCCTGCGCACTCCAGAACTTTACGAGGGGGGCGGAGCGGTGGCACGGATGGAAATTTAGCCTCTGGGGCCCGCAGGAGTGTGCATCGAGCCTCGATCGCCGACAGAAGCGGAGCCCGCAGTTCGGGTTCGGGTGCGCTCTTTGGAAGGGCCCTGCGGGCCAGCACATGCAGCATGGCGGTGTCAAGTGTTCTGGACATGGGCCCGAGATTTATATGAACGACGGCAGCAGAACAGGAAGTACAAGCAAAACGCCTTGACCCAGAAATGACGTGTCATTGCGGATAACCTGGTTCGAACAAATGTCGCGCCCATAGGTGTCATCAGGGCCCGATCCCGGCGGCGAGTGTGCGAGCAGACCGGGGCGCGTCCCGGCCTGCCGACAAGGCAAACGCGGATCCCCGCAGGGCGATGACTTTTCCCCAGGACAGCCTCGTCATCCCAAGTCGTTTTTGACGGTCCCGGGGCTCTGTGAGGCGCGCCCAGATGCCGAAACTGGTCACCAACCACCCGCCGCGATCTTGCCTCACGACTCGAGGGGGGCACCGGGGCCCGCCGCCGCTTTGAAAGCGGGAGGCCGCAGTCCTTGTCCTTGTTGCGGTCCTTCTCGCGGCTCCGGCTGCGCCCCCCGCGACCGCCACCGCCACCGCGGCTCCCTCCTGCAGAACAGCACAGAGAAGCGCGAGCACAAACTGTCGGAGGGCTGCGCGGATTTCTCCGATCAGCGCTGGAGCCCCCCTCTTCCTCCTGGCAGGGGCGGCGCTGGAGGGGCCGACAGGGGGGCCACTCGCAGGTCCAAGAACTCCGCGCGGACCTCCAAGAGACTGTGTTTATGCTGCTGCTGCTTGAAAGAGAACGTTACGGGGGACTGGCTCAAGGGGGGGAACATCGACCTGGAATCTGCGATACATCGCTGACTGATCCGCGATAGGCCCACGATAGCCACTCCGCACGCTCCTGGGCGGGGTGGGCTATCTTCAGCTGGGACCGACCGTCCCGGCAATCCTGTAGGCCTACCACGACATGTTCTTGGAACCCAATAGTATTCTAAGAACAGCAAGTCTATTCTTAGAACATAAAAGCCGATGTGCAAAAAACAACAAAATCGGCCAGACATGTTCTAAGAACAGTTCGTGCAGACCACAAAAGGTTCTTAGAACATTCTCTGGTGGGCCTATAGGCAAGCCAGGACGCTTCACCACTGCTTGACAATCGGGCCCCTGTCGGCGATCAACGGGCGATTGCGGTTGATGCATCGGCCCCTGAGTCTATCCCGTCCCCAACGTGGCCCTTGACTTGTTCTTCACTCGACTCCTAGCAAGTCCCGGCTGCCCATGTCCATGGCCGCCTCGTCCCTACGCAGAGCCGGCCCCGAGCCCGGGGGGGGGCCCGGCGCCGACTTGGGCCCCCCAGAGCCGCGCCACTCGGCGCTCAGCACGCAGCCGTCCAGCCACACCTGCCCGCCCTTGAGCGCGTCGAGCGCTGTCTCCGCCATGGCCTGGGTCTGGAAGCGCACGATTGGCAGATCCTGGGGGGAGCGGGAAGCTCGGCAGACGGTAGGCACCTCAAATGAGAACTCGGCCTGCCAGCGGGCGCACCACAGAAACACGTGATCCCCCCAGCACCCCAGGGACCCGCAGAAGACCTGGGGCGCTCTCAGGCCCTCAAAGATCGCCGACGGATGTGCCTCACGATTTCTTACACCGAGATGTCTTATCGTATGTGTCCACTGCGTGCCTAAACTTCCGGCGCTCTGCGCTGATGTTTCTGGGGCTCGGCGAAGCTGGCCCTCCCGGGGAGGGCTGGCTGCGCCGCCCGAGCCAGGGAGGCCCAGCGCCGATCAAGGAGATGCCCGCGTGGAGCACCTTCTCCTCCTCCCACTCATCCTCCCTCTCCCTCCTCCTCCCTCCCTTCTCCTCCTCCTCCTCCTACTCCTCCTCCCTCTCCCTCCTCCGCCCTCCCTTCTCCTCCTCCTCCTCCTCCTCCTCCTCCTCCTCCTCCTCCTCCTCCTCCTCCTCCTCCCCCTCCTCCAGCGCCGACCCGAGCAGGCATTCAGCAAGGGCGCCAACCCCTTCAGCATACACCTGCCGCGTACCGAAACTCTCTCTATTGCGGCCACGGGCCTTCTCTCGCATGCATGGCAATACACGCAGAAGTATGCTAAAAGCAGTGGGTTTCAATTGCCAAAGCTTCGTGGACGACAGAACCACAGTACTGTCGAAAACATTTGCAGCATATGACGTGGCGGTGAAAGTAGGCACACAATGCATCGACACGACGACTGCCCCCGGCAATACCGACATGAGCGGCACACGAAAGTCAGTTTCGGATGGAAGCGCGAAGCACATTCTAATCCCAGCTGTGGCAGTTCTTTCTTCATTGGGCGACGCTTGAGGACGAGGAACATTAGCAAGATCTATGAGCCGCCGCCTTCGTGTCATCTGAATGGGAGAATGGGCGCACTGCGGGTACGCTACGGCACGCAAGACTACCTTTTCGGTGCATTGTACATGCCCTCTCGCACATCAGGCACGCAAGCGCAGCGCACGGCGACGGTGGACAAGACTGTAGGTTGTTTCGGCACGATTCTGAAAAGACTAGGAACGAGGACAATGCCCATGCTTTTCGGTGACACAAACGACCAGTTTGGCATTCGCGAACCCACACAAGGCCTACAATACGCGACGGAGTCCTCCGGAACTGGTAGCATGTACCCTTGCCTTGAGCACTACACCAGCACCCGGGTACGGATGTTCTGCGAGAAGGCACGCGCAAGATAGACCATTGGTTTATCCAGACTGGATCGATGTCTATAGTTCAGCGCTGCTTTATTGACTTTGGGATGGCCAGGCGTTCACAGCAGAAGGATAGCAAAAGTTTCTGGGATCATCTGCCAGTCAATCTATGGGATCAAGACAGAGCGCTCAACGACCCGCAGCAGGCATGCGACAGCAAGCTTGACCGCAATGCAATTATGGCGTGTTTAACCAAAGGATTCAGACGCGAGGAGTTTCTGGAGAAAGTACAGAACAAAGCACTGGAGATCACTCGTCAATTGGAAGAGCAGTACAACAGTGGAGACGTGAATTGTGAGTGGAGTGTCTTACGGCAGGGCATGCATAGGTTGCTCGCCACCGTCTTCCCGCCAGCCCCAAAGCGAGACCACGAGTATCTCCGGATTCGCGAGCAGCGCATGAAGCTCCTGCAGGAACGTATCAGCGTATCAGGCTCAAGGAGGGCCTGGACCAACATGAAGCGGTCACAAGGCTAGATGAGATCAAGGACGAGCTGAGTTTGCTGGGAGCCCAACTCCGACGGCTACGGCGACGCCAGAACGAAGTACGAGAGCACGATATCTCGGAGTCACTATGCGAAGCATGGGGGCGCCGCGACCTTGCCGAGGTCCACTGGTTACGTGTTCTCTTGTCGGGAAACGGCCGTAGACCCAAGAAAAGAAACTATTTCAGTGCAAAGGCAACGCTACAGGCAGGGGAATGGCGAGCTGGACTGTAACAACCACCTCATCAAGGAGGGCTCGGGTGCACAGTCATTGAAGATTGGGATGCACATGTTCGGGAGCGACGTCGCCAAATCAACTGAGAAATGCCATGTACACATCAGGAGGTCCAACAGAAAGCACAACGTGACCGAGTTCAGCTTGGTAAATATGCGCTCCGAGCCGCGAAGCGACGAACTTACCCCACCGTGGATCCTGCCGATTGAGTTCTGGGCGATCTGTCTCCATCATCACCGTCACGGAATGCCTGCTGGAGGAGGGCTGGGAGCAGACCTGCGGCCTGAAGTACCAGAGGCATTCGAGGAGGCGCTGCAGGTGCTCTTATCGCACGTCAGACTGCGAGATGCCCCACCACTCACGATGTTACGTTCCAACGCGTTCGCGTCGAACAAGAGGAACGACAAGGACGGCATCGCAGGGCAAAAAATACTCCATGTCTTTGACAGCACGTCGATGGGACTTAGTGCTGGAGTACTCCGCCGCCGCCGCGGAAGACCAGCTGATCTCCCTGAGTGGGCACATGGAGGTCTACCACATCGACGGTGAGATGCAGCAGTGGTCACTATTGAATGCACTCGCTGGCGCATGAATACATTGGGAGTTTCCGACAACGAACTATGATGGTGTGAACGCTTTGAGCTGCACTACCAAATCCTGCCTCCACGCCCGTGGTTGCCGATATGATCATGAATATGATGTGCGATGGCATCACCGCGTCATGGACGAGACCACCTTGTACGCCAACGTGCAGGACGGCATGTCGTTCTGGCCTGTGATCGGCAACTGCATAGGTTCCACCCTGGGACCGCGCGATTTCATTGCGTGCTACAGCCCGGGCGTGACGAGCTGACTTGAGCAGATACGAGACGAGGCACCTGAAGAACGATGGCTCCTTACGCGGTGCCTCGTCACGGGTCGTGAGTGCGATACCTCCGCAACCACATTCGTGGACAATGTGAATAAGGTGCATGTCTTACCTTGGAGACCTTCTGCTGACCGCTGCGAGCAACGAGTCGCCCAACGAGGTGCAAAGATCGCAGGACACCTCAGCGGAAGTGGACACTCCTGGTACAGTGGTGGGGCGAGGGAGCGGCGGCTGCACAACGCACTCTCTCTTCGTCCTCCAGCTTTCTTGCACGTCCACAACAAGTTATGCACGTTCTGGGCCCATACCTTAGCGCAGACGGCTCGGTCGGTGCTGAAACTGAGCTACGAGTTCGAGCCGCCCATGACGGATGGCACCGGCTTGGGAAGGTGTGGCACAAAAGATACCTTTTCGTGTGAAGCGCTGTCTCTTCCTCGCCTATGTTCAGAATCGTATCCTGTCTGCTCTTGAGGCTTTTGTCCTGGAGTTTCGCCACACCGATTTTCTCGATCGCCACATCGACCTTTCTCGATCTATGAGTGGAGGGGTCGCGTATGAGGGGGAAGACCACATCAAAACTCTCGACACTTTCCAGGTGCTCGCGCGGTGGCAGATTCTCCCGTGCGCGCAGGAGCTCAGTGTTCGAAGGCTGAAGTGGTATCAGACCCTCGCAAGGTTCCCACAGGATGGAGCTCAGTTTTTCGCGGTCGACTTCGGAGATAGCGAGTTGGACAAACTCTCAGGCATCGAACGTCTTCCTGGAGGATGGTGTGGGCCATACTCCACTCCCTTGGCACGGCAGGTTCAGGATGATCTGGAATTCCTGGGAACACAAGCAGAGCACTGGTGGAGTCACTTGGACAGTATACTAGATGCATTTCGGGGCCCTGGGGCTTTGGAGTTCATTGCTATGGATGTCGGTGTCCTTCGGAGTCTTGGCCATGGCGTGCAAATCCCTCCTCCCCCAGGCCTCGGTGGACTGGACCAGCCAAACCGTATGTATGCACCAGCGGAGCCTGTACCAGACCCCCTGGATGACATGGACGCCCTAAAGGAAAACCATGGAGATGCACTCTATCGTTCCCTGAAGACCCTGAGCAGTGGTGCACTTATGCTAGCAGCACGTGCGCGGGCCCTGTGGCGCACATGATAAATGCCCACAACCTTCGCTCCTCCGTCTCAACGAGTGTCCCTGGTGCCGGTCCAGTTTCAAGACTCGCGCGCTCGCTCGGCCCAACGCGTGAACGAACGAACGCCGGAGTCGTGCGTGCTCCTCTGGGGAGCTCGCACGTGCCTATTGAGGGAGGCATGGCGTGGAGGCCGTGGCCTCGACAGGAGTGATCCTATTCAAGCTTGTGAAACGTAAGCCCGCACATAATATGATGAACACCACTCTGCGCACGCAGCGGCCCGGATCCATCGTAGGTCGTTCGTGTTGTTGTGCACGTAATGTCTGGGTTGGGTGGTTTCCCTGATCTGCTACTCTCCTGCGCCGCTGTCCGAACTGTACAGAACGTCCCACCGCTTTGGCTGTCCCCACATGAAAATGCGGGTTCCATTCAAGCGCTCTCTGGGTCCAGCGTGTCGTGGGGTGGTGATCAACGGCAATCGCCCATCGCCACACCATTCCACGATGAATCTGCCATACATCTGGTATGTTGTGCATGAGCATGAGTGGCTCCGCCCTCCTCGTGCTTCTGCGGGTTAGAGCAACAAAAAATCCAGGTCGTCATTCCGCGTGCTGTCGGGCTGCGTATCCTCCTCGTCGCTTTGCCTTGCAAATTGGTTTGGTCGGTGGGTGGGTTGCTGCGTACGTCGGAGCCGGTGGGATCGTTGGAATGGTCTGAGTCGCGTGGACCAGCAGCTCCCGCGTCGTAGTGGTAGTCGTTGTTCTGGTTTGCTGCTGTGTCGCGGTGCGGTGGTGGTGCGGCTGCAGTGCGTCTCCTGGGCGTCCCGATGATCATTCTGACCATGTGTCGCTGCGTTCGTCGTTACTGCTGCTCGAGAGGTTCTGTCAGGGTCCAGGCTTCTGCGCCTTACGTCATGGTAGGGATGACTGTGTCCTTGTATAATCGTAGTCGATGGCGCAATGGGTAGTTTTTGCTGGTGGGTTTTTCTCTATGGCCACCAAAACAAGCCCACGCAGCTTGAATCCGATGCTTTACTTCGGTCGCGGGGGCGTCCTGGAAGGTGATCGTCTGGCCTAGGTACTTGATGGTGCTGGTACGTGGTAGGATTTGATGTCCATCCCTGCTGCTGTAGTCGCCCGGTTGAGGTGCCAGGTTTTGGTTGGTCATGAAATTGGTCTTGCTCGGGTGTAGCCCCAATCCATGTGGCTTGGCAGATGTGATCAAGTCGGAAAGCATTGTTTTCAAATTGCGTAGTGTTTGGCTGATCAATACGATGTCGCTTGCGAACCGGAGGTTCGTGAGTGTCGACTCGTCTGCGTGGCCCAATTGAACGCCCCAGCGTTTTCTCTGCCAGTCAGGGACCAGCGGCGCCAAGATGTGCTGGAGTAGTGCGCTGGATAATGATGAACTCAACGGATATCCTTGCATTGTGCTGCGACGGAGATCGAATGGTTTCCTCGTGGTGTCGGTGCGTACCACGGCCATCTGGTCACGATACAGGCGTTGGAGGAGGTCTACTTACCCCAATGAAACGCCCTGGTCGTATAGAGCTGCCCAGAAGCTGTCGTGCTCAACTGTGTCGAAAGCTGTTTTTAACTCTATAGCTGCTATCCATAGGTGTTGGTTCCATTCAGCTGCCGTCTCTCGTAGGACGTGGAAAAGAAAAAGGTGGTCTCGCGTGCCCCCGCCAGGTCGAAAACCAGCTTGGACGTCAGGTTGTTGTCGGTCCAGAAATGGCTGTAGTCTGGTATTGACACTGTGCAGATCGGTCGGTAGTTCTGGGGGAGTGCGAGGTCTCCTGACTTAGGAGTTACTGGAATGACGGATGTTCTCCAGCTGGCTGGCGTAGTGGCGTCTACCTTGATGACTGTGTTGTACATATGCAATGGAGCCCGCTGGAGCTCCGCGCCTGGCTGTTGGAACATTTCAGCCCGAATGCCGTTGGTGTCGGGTGCGTGATTACTGCTTTGAGCTCGGCTTCCGTGAAGGGTGGAATCTGCTGCGGCTTGCGTGTCGCGTCCGCTGGTCGTTCGCCCGTGAAGGACGAGGCATACAAGTCGGCGTAGAAATCTGCGAGTGTGTCCGCGATCCCTCGTCTTGTCGTCTGCCTGGCGCCATCGGCCCCCAGCATGTCAGGAAGGCGGTGCGGTTGTGCTGGAGACCCTTGTACTGTTCGGGAATGGATTTGATTCGTTCCCTCTGGCTTGCCCTCTTTTTCCGTCGAATGCTCTGCTGGATCTACTTGCTGATCGATCGAGGGCACGGGCGAATGCAAGGTCGATCGTTCTGTATGGTCTCACCATGTTGTGGAACCGCCACCTGAACGCCTCACATATCCATTATGTGGTAGTGTGGCTCAACACAGAAAGCTTCTACGACCACGTCACAGGACATTTGCCAGCACCATAATATATCGACCTAGGCGCGTTCCCGCAGGACATCTTTGCTGCGTGCGGGCTGTCCCACCATGGAGCGGCTCCCGAAGGCAGGCGAGGCGGGCCAGCCGCGGACCAAGCACCTCAATGGCTCGGCGGATGGGTCCAAGGCAGTGGAGAACCAGGCAGTCGAAAGGAAGAGCTGCGGGCCGCACAAAAGCTACCACTGAGCCTGGACTACCAGTTACAAGAAATCGCCGCGGTCTTATTCGATACCTGGCTCATCGTCCGAACTGCAACGATAGCGGCAGGCATGATCGAGGCCGGCCAGACCGACACAACACGGAGGTGCAGCGCCAGAAGAAGGGTCACAAGTTGGGCGCCCCGTTTCCACACATCGTGCTGGCGATGCTGGAGGCAGTCCTGGAGGCAGCCGCAGACATCGGGCTTTAGCCTCAACTTGTGCATACGATCCAGAATACCTGCTATGATCGCGCGAAGGGACAATCTTTCACGAACGAGATCTTCGGGTCATGCAAAACCAAAAGAACAGCACAGGGCAAGAGCGAAGCGACCGGCCAGGCCGTCCCGAAGTACTCGGTCAGGTGCTCGGCTCAGATCCCCAAGAACGCCACGGAGGGCCAGAAGAGGGACCCGCTCCACGGCGAGGGCTTTTGGTCGTTCCTCGAGCTGCGGGCGGCCCTGCAGCCAGCGCTGAGCAAGCAGGTGGGCGAAAAGCAGGTGGGGCCCGCGCCTCGAGCGGGTCTCGCGTGAGTGGTGCAGCAGCACGTCGGGTAGGAGCCCCAGCGAGAAGCAGAGAGGGACGGGATCGGGGGCGAGGAAGGGCAGTACAGGCTGTAGGTGAGGAACAAAACGCGTTTCAAATGCAACCTCCGTTTTCGCCAATTAGGCCCTCTACTCCTCCTCCACCTCCTGATCCAGATTTGTACTCCAAAGTTCAAGCTTTGGCCAATTCGGGGTCGATTCGAGCTGCGCAGATTTTTGCGCGCATGCGACCTCCGTCCCCTCGCGCGCCTCGAATAGGGTAACGGGGGGGGGAAGGGCTTTGAGTCGAGATGCCTGCTCACATGGGCAAGCCTGCTCCGTGAGCAGCCTCGCCCAGAGCCGAGTATCGAGACTTCGCCTAGGGCCAGGAAGTAGAGGGAATTGCCTAACCCATTCAGACGAGGTGGACAGGCCCCGATGGTAGATCCAGATCCAGATCCTCCTCCTCCTCCTCCTTCTTTCTCTCCTCCCTCGAGGTCCACGCCCCGCTGCCCCATGTGGCAGCCCGTCACCTCCCCGAACTGCTCCATGGCCTTCTTCAGGCTCAGGCGGCTCGACTGCTCGGCGATGCCCGAGACCTCGATCGCCGCCGAGGACATCTGGTGCGGCCGGGTGGGCCCCGCAGCGGCGGGACTAGTCAGGGGAGCTGCGGCGCCTGGACGGGCAGGCCGAGAGACGGGGGCGCGGCAAAGGCGGGGAAGAGAGGGGGGTGACGACGGCGTCTTTGGTGGAGTCTGGGAGGGCATCCTGCGCCGGGTCTAGGGCAGCAGGGGAGGAGAGGGGGGAGGAGGTCCACGAGGAGGATAACGGAGAGTGGGGATGGCAGAAGGGAAGAGGAGGAGGAGGAAGAAGGTTATAGAAGGAGGAGGAGGAAGGAGGAGGAGAGAAAGGAGGAGATGGAGGAGAAAGGGAAATTCATTATTTATATGGAGATAAATGGGAGATGGGAGAGAGGAGAGGGAGGAGGGATAACGTGGAAGAAGAGGCATATCCTCCTCCTCCTCCTCCTCCAACCTCCTCCTCCTCCTCCTCCCCCTCCTCCTCCTCCTCCTCCTCCTCCTCCTCCTCCTCCCCATCCTGCTCCTCCTCCTCCTCCTCCTCCTCCTCCTCCTCCTCCTCCTCGGACGGCCAATCGATCAGGACGCCGGGTGGTTCGAACCGAGACAGCAGCTCTCCCTCCTCCTCCTCCTCCTCCTCCTCCTCCTCCTCCTCCCAACATGTTCCTCCCCTCCTCCCCATGGTCCTCGTCCTCGTCCTCCTCCTCGTCCTCCCCTTCCTCCTCCTCGTCCTCTCAGACCTTTCAGACCTGGCGGACACCCTGTCATCCATAGAACGACGAGTGCCGACTACCAAAGTAGGATTCCCAGGACGAGGACGGCTGGCCAGGGGTGGGAGGCAGATGCGGGGGAGGAAGGGGAAAGAAAGGAAGAGCGGAGAGGGGAAGGGTGGGCCCAAGCCGAAATTTCGGCCCAGGTAGCAGTCCCTTGCTGAGCCTGGATCGTTCCGAACTCTTCCGACGGGGCCCACAGACATTCAGGAGGCGGTCAGAATCGTTGCACGTGGAAAAGCCGTCGCACCGCACACAGAAAATAACTGGCACATCAGTCTCCATCACCCTAGCCCATTGCAGCACATGCTGCTCCCCACATTGGCCACGCAGAAGCGCGATCGTCGTCGGGTTCGGCTCAGCACATGCTGTGACAATGTCTGGTGTGACAGCTCGGAGGCATCTTGAGCAGCGGTACGGATCACCATGCGGCACCAGCACATGCTGACTCCTAAAACGAGGTAGCGCCTTGGCCGTATCAGGCCTCCGAGCTTTCTTGGATTGGGCCTTGACATCAGGCCACAACTGCAGAATCGAGGGGACCCACACAGCAAGACTGGAATATTCGGCCTCCGCCATTTCAAAGTCCAACAGCTCCTGGGGGTTAAGATTATGACTCTGAACAGCAGTCTCGGCCCAGATTTCTGCAGAATGCGAGCCTATGCTACGAATTCGGTCTTCGTCATCGACAGCCTCGCTGTAGGCCCTGTGGGCCTTGATCTTATCCTAAGCAACCCACGGCCCAGCGCGAATGTTCCTGGAAATCTCCCGCCAGAAAAACAAATCAGCCTGGGGGGGGGGCGCAAGGGCCTTGGCAGGGCCCCTGGTCCCCATGAGAAGCGCAGCGCAATCCGCAAAGACAGGTTTGGGGATACAGTCGCGGGCAAAATCCCTCCCACGCAGAATGCTGACAGCCAGCGCTCCACGTTCAACACCGCTGGCCGTTTGACGGAATTCCGCGGGGAGCGGGCCATATGCCCCTCGAGCGAGACGTTGTCCGTGCAAGCGAACCACAGATATTCCAGCACGTGAGATCTCTTGTCAATGTTATTCTCCATGCATGCATAAACCACCCCGCGTGGGTCACCACGCGGATCAAACTGCAGCTCGAGCGCGGGCTGCCCACCGCTGCGGACAACAAAACAACAGCAACAAAAACAGCTGCCACCCTTAGGAAGGCACCAACTATACACCAACACCGATCCTGGCCAGGATCACCCTGGGCCCAGGATCGGTGTATACGCCCTCCTGCCTTGCGCAAGAAGGCATATACACCGATCCTGGGCCCAGGGTGATCCTGGGCCAGGATCGGTGTTGGTGTATAGTTGGTGCCCTCCGAACCCTGCAGCTGGCCCATGGAGCTCGGGGAAGGGGGCCCACCACCGCAACAGCAGTAGACACTCCTGGGCTGCCCCGCGGATCTGGCCCAGGGCCTCGGCACCGACAAAACTCCGCCCGCCGTTGCCCGACATCGGGGCGGGCCCGCCCCCGGCATCGATGTCGCAGCGTGTCCTCGTGTGCCAGGCAAAAATCGGGTCGGGCGAAAGGGGGGGATAGCAAAGGGGTGGTTTGAGAATCAGCTCGCGTAGCTGATTTTCCCGGCGCCTCCCGGCGCCGGAGGCGGCTATGTATCGAGGAATGGGCCCCTCGGTGAAGCCGAAACCAGCTGCATGCAGCAAATTTCGTAACCCCCCCTTTCCCAATCCCCCCCTTTCGCCTGGCCCGAAAAAAACACTCGGCGTCAACCTCATGGCCCCATCTCGAGAGGGCCTTGCCAGCCGGGACCGTGCCCGACACCACTTGGCAGGAAAGGTGCAATCTGCGCAGGAGAGAGGCCGTTTTCTGCCACGCGCTGAGTCAAGGGTAGCCATGGGCCTCTCCGCACAACTTCGAGGAGCATTGGTTAGGCTACGAGTTATAAGTTTCACTAGCAGGGCCTGGCGGAGGCCCTTGATGAAGGCATCAGGGATCTTTGTCGGGGGGCGCCCAGTGAGGATCAACTTGGATCCGCTCTTGGAAACAAACACTGCGGGCCCTTCCCACGACCTTCCACCAGCTTCCAACCACAGGAGCATGGCCGAAATCGGCCCGCGGGTGCGATGCAACCACGGCGTCCGCGGGGCCAAGGCCAACTGGCGCTAAACAGCATGGAAACACTTGCTCAGGTCACGAAGGCTCAGCGCATCCTGATGCCGAGGCCCTTCTCTCGACGCAGGTTTGCTGGTATGCCGCCGTTCCCACGCGTAGCGCTTCAAAGGGCCTGCGAAAATGTAGATGGGGTCCCCGCAGGGCTTGCGGATAGCCCACTGGGGCCCCATGGAACACCCCCGTTTACTGATACCTGCAGCCCGTGCTGCAGCCCGCCGAACATGGCGAATTTCAGATGGCGCGGCCCCTTGGACCTCCATCCCGCAGGAAACCGTTGACAGGACACGGCTTTTGAACAGCCTAGCCCTGGCGTCCCTCGGAACCCCTAACATGCGCAACCTGCGATTTCGATGCTGGAACTTTCTGGCCCGTCTCATGCGGATGCCCCTGGCCACGGCAACTCTGCCATGCTTCCCCGCGGCGAAAGATACTCCAGGAATGCCCGGGGCCTGGCCCGGGCAGCCGGGCCACCCAAGAAGCCCGGATGCTTCCCGACAGCTCCGAGAACCCCTGGAGAGTTGGCAACAGCGCACATCTTCCGCCCCACGAGCAGGACATCCAAAGTGGACGCGATGTGGTAGGCCATGTTCGCCGCCAGTGCCTTCCACTGCGCTGCGCCCTCGCATAAATTGGCGCGGCACGAACGAAGCGAGATATCCTCGGCGCGCAAGCCTTGACTAATGCCTCCGCCGACGCTCAGACCATGCATGACAGCGTTCCGCATGAACGCCATCGCTCATGCGTGGCTGAGGTGCCGCCTGCAACGATACCCATTCGAGCATGCAATGGCCGTGAATACGCTCCGTCCCGCGCTAGGTGTCGCTTCCACCTGTAAGTTGACAATGCAAGCGGAAGTATTCGCAACGGGAAACCCGAGATAACTCCATGATTGACTAGCTCCTGGCGCCCCTTGAGCTGGTAGAACTGCTCGAGATCCCGCGAGAGGCTAGCCCAACATACCTTTTCTCCAGTGGCCCGCTCAGAAACAACAGGCCGGCGCCAGACCGCGTCGAGACTGCCGCGCCCCTGCCCCGTGGAAAACTCAGACCCGAGACGGGCCCGAGCCTCCCAGGCCCTGCAAGGGCCTCTGTGAGTCATCCCGCGTAGCCTCTCGAAAACGCTGCGTTGCCCACTTGGGCGGCCGCCCTTTGCCGGGCCTGCCCACCAAGGATGCGAAGAGGCTCTGGGCCAGAGTCGGCCCTTCTCCCGCGACGTCCATGAGGTGGCACAGCCACGCTAGACGCGATAACGCCAACTCCCCCCCCCCCCCCATCATGCAGAAATGCCCCGGAAGAAACCCATCAGGGCAACGCGTGAACTTCGGGAGCCTCGAGCTGATGCGCCTCAGACATTTTCCAGAGATCGGACCTGTGACTTCGATGGGGAACTCGGGGGTCCAGAACTCCGTCCAATCCAGCGGCGCGTCGGAGGCCTGCCAGGCCCCTCTCCACGTTCCAACTACACTACAGAGACGAACAGGGAGACCACTGGGGAAATAACCTGCGCCGGCAGCAACTTCCCCATCCCATGCGCGGGGCCCCCTGCGCGCGGGAAAACAATAGCTTGCCTGCCTCCATTGCTGAGAGCTCCGTCACGCCATGGCTCCCAGGATTCCGGAGAGCGACTTTGGTCTTCCAGCTGGCCTTAGCGGACCCAGGGCCCAAGGAGCTCCAAGCCCTTGTTCAGGATGGTGTTCGGTGCTTCGCGGTCATGGGGATTCATCACTCGCTCAGCAGTCGGCGCCAGGGACGGATGCCAGAAGCTGCGCCCCTTCCTCCAAAACCTGCGAGATGGGCCCCCCCATCGTCGGGAGATCGCGCCATTGCTGAAGTAACCGATCACGGTGCTCCTGCTTCGAGTCCTTCCCGAACAGGGCAATCGGCCCCATGGAACGTAATTGCATCCACTGAATGGCACGACCTGGGAACGCGGCTGCCCTCTTCTTCGCGGCTAGAAGAGTGGACGCCCGAACAGCCTCGAGCACGAGCGGCGACCCACCTGGCAGCCCTCGGCATTTGGCCTGCGTAGCAGATACAACATCGCCCCAAGCCCGTGGGAACCACTGCTGATAGATGCCATCGAGAAGCCGAACCCCGCGATCTTTCTCGGCCCCTCGGGCCATGAAACAATTCCCAGACCCCCCGGGCGGCTTGGTCTCTGAGCCCCCTCTCAAGATCCGAGA